TTTTTGAGGTACGCGGGCCTCTCACTGTTGTGGCCCCTCCCGTCGCGGAGCACAGGCTCCTGACGCGCAGGCTCAGCGGCCATGACTCACGGGCCCAGCCACTCCGCGGCATGTGGGATCCTCCCGGACCGGGGCACGAACCCGTGTCCCCTGCATCGGCAGGCGGACTCTCAACCACTGCGCCACCAGGGAAGCCCTGAGGCTGGGTTTTGAGATCCACTGGCCTCCCAGATGGCGGGCGGAAGGGAGGACAGCGCACAGCCACGCCTGCTTGGGTGAAATCCTGCAAGTGCATATGTGAAATCTGCACCCTCCCCCTGCCCGCCTGCATCTGTCTCGAGGAGCTTTACGTTTCCCCGGCACGTAGAAAATAGACATAACACCGATAACTGGACCTAAGGAAGCCTTCCTCTGCCAACAACTCGGTTTGGTTTAACACCCTTTGATGGTGTTATTTTAGCACTTTTCACAAATGCTAATGAACAACTCACTCGGTCAGAGCAGAGAAACACAATCTGCTGGTTCTGTTTAGGCATTATTCGCGCCAGCTAATGCACAGTTACTCATTTGCCTCTGCAGAGAGCAGAGCCGAGGCCAGTCTCGGGAGTGAGGGACTAACTGGGGTGGGACTGCCTCACCTCACAGAAACGCCAGAGCTGGCAAATCCCTAGCATCTCTGCTGGTGCCCCCTCTCTCATCCACTCATGCACATGCTGCTGGTCAGTGCTGGTCTCTTTCCTAGCACAGAGCCTCAGACTCCTCCTCAACCCACTGCTGCAGCCAACCCCACCCATACTGGATCCGTGAACCAGGATTAGAAACGGTGCCTGGAAAGTCACTGATGGAGGCCCAATTTCCATCACGACACCCCAGAGAAATAGTCATTCTTCCGTTAGGCGTGGCAGAAGACTACGAATACACGTGGTTAGTGTCTCTCTGTTTGAGCGAGGGCAAGAGAAGGGACGGAATCAAAACTTCGGACGGCATGCCAGCACGGATGTATGGGTGGGGTTGGCTGCAGCAATGGGTTGAGAAGGATTCTGAGGCTCTGTGCTGGGAAAGAGACCGGCACTGATCAGCAGGGCCTGCATGGGTGGATGAGAGAGGGGGCACCAGCAGAGATGCTAGGGATTTGCCAGCTCTGGCATTCCTGTGAGGTGAGGCAGTCCCACCCCAGTTAGTCCCTCACTCCCGAGACTGGCCTCGGCTCTGCTCTCTGCAGAGGCAAATGAGTAACTGTGCATTAGCCATACCTTAGTGGCCAGCAGTCGTGTCAGATAGATTTCAGACACCATCTTGCTCCCCCGGTCACCCTCCTTCTGGTCCCCATGCTCGTGGTTCTTCACCAGGTGCCACATCTTGACGCCACTCTCCAGGTCAGGGGTGATCATGGGTGTGCGTGAGCGGAGGCTGTCAGGGCTGCCCGTGTACCGGATCATGTTTTCTGCCAATGCAAGGACCCCACGCGGGTAAGGCCACCCAGCCTTCCGGCCCATTACTCACGACACACCTCGGCTCCAGCCAAGGCCAACTCCGATCCTTCCTGCATTCACAGGCGCTGTCACCTTGCCTCGCTTCCGTCCATTCCTGAATCTGGGGCGCTCGCCCACCACCTCCGGAAACACTCTGTGGCTCCTCCACCCACTCGGATTCCCCTCCCTCCTGCACTTGCATCTCTCCAGCCCTTGTTACTCAATTTGTAAAAATATAAGCTTGTCCTTTTTCACACTTTCCTTATAAGAGCTCTCAAGTCTCAGGATGTGCTCTGTGCAGCCAGTTGAGTACCAATGAAAGAGCAGGGATCCTGTCTCCCCAAATGACGGTTGACCAGCTTAGTGATCACCCTGTCAGTTGTGTACCTTCATCCGCCCCTCTCGCCTGGACCAATTCCTCCCACTTAATTGCTGAAACGTGAGGTGTGGTGAGATGAGTGTTGAGCAGGAAAGAAGAGGCAAAGCCCCACTGTGTGCGGGCACCCGTTCTATGTTGCCTTCTATATATTTTCCAGAGCCATCCCGTGAAGTTGGTAGTTTTTGCAATCCCTGTTTTGCTGGTAAGAAGGCACTCCAGGCTTCCAGCCCACATCCGGCGCCCTTTTTCCCACCCCGAGGAGCAGAGACCTGGGTCTGTACCTTCCCTCCACTGCTTCATAGCGTGTGCCCTTTACACGTCATCTAGCCTCTGAGCATCTGAGTTATAATTTGCTAATCTGCATAAGAGGGGGAAATAATAATTATTTAATTCACTGATTATTATGAACCTGACGTTTGATAAAGAGTTATCACAAGTGTGAAAGCATCTTAGAGACTGTAGGATGCTCAGGAAGGTTAGACTTTCTTCTTGTTTTTGAGGATGAAGGTCCTGCGCCTGCATCAGAGCCCCTGCCCGGAACCAGAAGCCTCCTTTCCAGGCCAGAGTTCCTCTCTGGTGGCCAGCCTGCCTGACTCCCCCCACCCACTCCCCACCCCCGTGCCCCATCCCGGGCATCTGCTGCCTTCCAGCAGTGCTGCCAGCAATGACAACAGCTGCTCAGGGCATCCTCTCCCCAGCATGATTCAATGAACTCACCGTATTTACTTGCCGAGGTCCTGGAGATGGTGGAGTTGTTCACTGCATTGTAGGCTGTCACCTGCTTGGACACTAAAGCCACCACAGAACCATCCGGCACCTACCGGGAAAAGGCAGGTGAGGGCCTGGGCACAGAAACTCTGCCACCCCAGGAAATCAGGACAAGCCAGGATGAACGTGGTCCTCAGGGGCAATCAGTGCCTCATCGAGAACCAGGGGACCAAGGAGGCTGTCAGCTTTCCTTTGATGCAGCACGACAGATCTGAATACAGAATCGTAGTCTATGTTGGGGTTCACTCTTGGAGCAACTCTGGCAAGAGCTTCTCACCAGCACCCTCTGTCTCGATGCTTCCCTGGGGGAGCACCCAGCCTTAAACTCCGGGGACCACAGGGTCTGTGCCTATGCCCTGTGGGAAGCACGCTCCTGGCAACCTATCTCCAAGGAGGTCAGGGTTTCCTGGCTGGGGGCCATGTTGTCCCTGGGTCGCTAAGGGCACAGGCAGTGCTGGTGGAGAAGTGGATTTAGGGCTTGGTACGAGCCTCAGGGCAGCCCTGCTATTCAAGGACCGAGACTCCCAGGGACCTGGCTGCCCAGTTCGCCGGCCCCTCTCCACTCCACGGTCACCTCACCTGGTAATGCGCCAGGGTGTTCAGTCTCTTCCAGTCGTTCTCAATCTTGGTGGTGATGTCTTCATCCTGCAGGATCATCCTCGCCCCGCTTCCTTGTCGCCACTCTGTAGGGAGAGCAGTCGCATCTCAGAGAGGTCCTCAGGGCCTCCCATGGGATCCTGAGGACCCCTGTGCAGGCACGTACATGGCACCTTCTCAGGGGTGCATCCACGGACAGAGAGGTGCTAGCAGACACTCCCAGAGGAGGGGTGCAGGAGCTCTCAGCACAGGTGGGGGGGGGGGCCTGAATTCCAGTTCTGGTTCTCATCCAACAAACTACGTGACAGAAGTAGGAATAACGTCACCCCCGTGGCCCACCTGTTCCCAGCAGTGGCCACATCTGCAAGAAGTCTTTGCTTATTAGCTGAATGAAAAAGGCAGGTGAAGGCACTTAAGAAAGTATTAAGCACATGCAAGGCGGTGTCATCACCATCACGTACTCTTTGCTTGACTGTAAGGTCTTGGAGCTAATGAGATGAGACCAAGGCTGCAAATTCGGTCACTGTGCACCCTGTTCCTGTTCTAGGGGTGCATCCTGTACCCGAAAGCTGGCAGGTGGGCCACCCTTGGCTGGGAGACTGAGTAAAAGCGTATAGAGGGACCAGCAAAACCTATTCTCATGCCCAAGAACAGCCTCGTCCCCACAAAGCTCATGGGGATAACAGCCTCTTGGTGATGTATCCAACACCTAATTATCTGATGCCATAGGTATACGCTTACATCCCATGTTCTCCTCATGGGCCCAGACACCTACAACACACGGGCTTGCTGACGGATCCCACATGGGAAAACAGGAGACTGTTTCTCATCTACCAAATCCTCATCACCACACGTGGTACAAATCACATGGAGATGGAGGCACGTACATTCCAGTCCTGAATCGTTTGCACGTGGAGACCCAGGTGCATGCCAGACACAGGCCAGCTCTCGTGCACAGGCACGTACACGTCTACACATGCACACACATTCACACGCACACACCAGAAAGGAAAAATGGCCTTTTCAATTCAAATACAACATGTGTTCCTGCCAGGAAGCCAGGAATCTGGTTTCCAGGCAGCCACTACACCCCATTCAACGCCTCACAGATGCTGAAATTCTGCAACAGGCAAGAGCACCGGGTCTTGCAGCACGTGGTTGGGGGCTGGAGTGAGTTACCCGAAGTCCTTGTCTAACCCCTGCCTCGGATTTTTCCTACAGCTCGCAGACACACATATTGTCCTCCCTCCCTCTGTTCCCCTCCTGTCAAGACTGAGCTGGGGGTCCAGGACTGATTCCCTCCTGCCTTGTGCACTTGGCATGACCAGTGCTACAGATGAAAATCAGACCCAGGAAGGGAGCTGCCTGCCCTTAGGGGGAGCAGAGATGCTCCGAATATCCAAGTCCCTGCCTCCGGCTCCTGGGCTTGTCTGCTGCCTGGTTTAGAGCTTCTTGTAGCGTCGGGCTGTCCCAGGAATGAAAACACGAGGATGCCACGCGTGTTCGCGGGAGCGGAAGAGCCTTGAGAGGTCTCTGGGGATTGCCCATCATTTAGTGCTGTTGATGGCACAGCTGGAATGATCATGGAGGTGAGGGCCTCGGGGCAGGTAAGGTGGTAGACAAAAGGGGAGATGCCTCACGAGGGCAAGTGGTCAGCAGTGTTCTGTTTGTTGTTGTCGTGTTGTTTGTTGTGTTTTTTGTTTTTGTTTTAAATTTTATGCAGGTAGGTATGGGTGCATGTTTTCTGAGTGGCTAGGGCAAAATAAGCAGAATATCTCCCAGCTGGTGAGATCGCGAATTATGTGGTACAGAGGGACTCTGGTGAAGACCAGCCTGGGCCAAGGATATGGCAGTGGCATGTTTTGTCCCAGTCGCACAGTGGGTCCTGAAAGATAAAGCCTCGTGGGTCTCCCCGCTTCCCTGGTGAATAGTGCCAGGGCCAGTAAGTCAGAGGCTGCATGGGTGAGGGTACAGGAGGCAGGCAGTGTCTGCATTCCCCACCTGGGGGCCAGAGGAGGAGCTGGGGCCGAGCTCTGGACACAAAGTCTGCTGGCCGGACGCAAGGGAAGAGGAGTCTCCTTCACTGCAGAGGCTGTGGGGGCTTTCTGGTTTATGAGCTGCACTGGCACCCTTGCTGATGGCATTGTAGCACCTCTCAGGGGGATGCGAACAAGCCACACAGCCTGGGGGACTGAGCAGTGACAGCTGGTGACTAATCTGGGAGCGAGAGACAGGACTTCGTTGTTCCACAACTGGCCTGAAGTTGTGCAGTGCACAGCCTGTGCAGCCCTACTCAGCAGCCCTGACTCTGAATCATGTCCAGTAATTATGTAAGCAGATGAAGGTCAGTCTGCCATCTCTGTCCTCAACCGAAAAAACCAGGACAGAGTGTGGCCATGCTCCCCTCAGGGCAGTCCAGGAATGATGGCTTGTCCTTAGGAGTACAAAAATGCTGCTGCCAGATGCCTACCAACAGGGCTAGCCCAGCACCTGGGACACAGTAAGTACATGAATAATACATCAGTGAAAGAGTGAATAGACGAAAGAAGGGAAAGGGTAAGTGAGCGAGTAACGGTGGCTTATTTTCCAAGCAGTGAAAGGATTTTCTACCTGTGTGTTGCTGCTCCATGGTGGGCAGACAGTGAGCTACAGTGAGAGGTGAAATGTGAGCCGCGCTGTTAGAACCTGGGACAAAGGAAGAGCTGAACTCCAGAACCTCAACTGGGCACGTCCACTGCCCGAAGTGAAAGCTCTCTGAAGTGATTATCACTCATTCTTCCGATTTTACAACTGGGAAATTAAACAGGTTGGGAAGACAGACCTGGAGGTCATCACAACTCGGAGCTCTGTAGCGTGGTGCCAACGACGCGCGTGAGCCACCCAGTGTCGGGAGCATGGAGGCAGGGCCGTGATGGCCAGACTGGGACCTGGGCTGTGGCCACACTGGGATGCTGGCGGGTAGCTGCCTCCCCTCAAGTGCATACTCTGAGCTCCCTGGGGAGCATGGTGCCTCACCAGCTCTGACCCTTGTGGCGTGTGCATATGCAGGTGGGTGCACGGGCACACACGTGTGCATACACACACATATGTGCGCGCGTGCACACACACACACAAACAAGTATAGCATCTCACCCCAGGCTGAGGACACTTAAGGCTCTGCAGCAACAAACCCCTGCCCGCCCCACCCCCAGTCCAGTCCATCTCTCCTCAGACCCATCAAAGGAAGCTTTAGGAGGGACTAACCTGGAGGGATGAGGAGGGAAGGAAGCGCCCACCAGGCTGGTTAGAACTGGCCGAGTCAACCCCGCTGATCCACAAGGAACCAATTTCAGAGCCAGCTGTCTGCCCTCTCACCCCGGGCCACCATTCCTCCCCGTGGGGCGCTGAGCAGAGTCTCACCAGCCTGCACAGGGTCCTCTTGACCTCCCAAACCAGGGTCCGAGCAGAAGGCTGGAGGAGGAGACACGACTCTACCGCCGCACACCTGTCGGCAGGTGAGCCCCAAGGAGACAGCCCAGACACCCTCGGCACCCTGCCGCTCCCAAGTGTGGGAGCGGCATCAGAAAAGAGCCGGGACAGAATCAGTGTCACTGCAAACAGTCGGGAAACTAACTCAGGAATGGGAGGGGGGACCACCTAAATATGGTTTATTTAAAAAAGGTATAGGGCTTCCCTGGTGGCGCAGTGGTTGAGAATCTGCCTGCTGATGCAGGGGACACGGGTTCGAGCCCTGGTCTGGGAGGGTCCCACATGCCGCGGAGCAACTAGGCCCGTGAGCCACAATTACTGAGCCTGCGCGTCTGGAGCCTGTGCTCCGCAACCGCGATAGTGAGAGGCCCGCGCACCGCGATGAAGAGTGGCCCCCGCTTGCCGCAACTAGAGAAAGCCCTCGCACAGAAACGAAGACCCAACACAGCCAAAAATAAATAAATTAATAAACTTCTAAAAAAATTAAAATAAAAAAGGTATAATTTTATGGTGAGAGCAAGTTCTAAAATACAAAATAATCGAAGTAGGAAACGTGGTGCTTAAAAGAAGAAATTCCTAAATTGAACGGTGCTGTCTGCTTTCAAAGCCTTGGGTCGTTGTAGACTGTGAAGAGCTGTGCACCGGCTAGTTGTCGCTATTCAGGGAAGTCCGGAGAGCTAAAGGAAAAAGCAGACTGCTCTGCTACTCGATTTAAGAGAGGTAAGCTAGAGCTTAGTGGATATTCCTGAATATAGAATAATGCGGAGGAGGCTCTGGTGGCGCTCCAGGGTGGTGTGCCACGCCTGTGCTGTGTCAAAGAAGAGTTCAAGAGGCAGGGGGTGGGCGGTGGGAAGGAAGAAAGGTGACCTAGGTAGGAAAGGTGACCCAGGTATTCATATGCAAGGCATCTAGGGAAAACTGCTGGCTCTGACCTCCCTCGGAAGCTCTGCCCGCAGCCCCGTGCCCTGCTCCAGGCTCCAAGCACAAAGGACAGACACACTCACAATCCAATTTGTTACACTTCCACCTTCCAGGGAGAGAGGGAGGTGAAATAAAAAAGAAAAAAAATCCCATTATCTTTATCTGTCCTTCCCATCAGGTGCAGGAAAATGCAAAGTGGGGCGACAGCTGCTGTGAACTCTATATTTCACTCAGAAGATAGTGTATCTTTTTATTGCACACAGGAATTACTTATTTGAAAAAATATACCCTTTCAGACAGAAGGGGTGGCGTAGGGGCTATTGATGGGGCATTTGCTTTAAACCAGAGGAATCTCTGGAGGTCACGGCCTGTGGAGGAGCCTGCGTGGAAAGGGAATGGATGTTCTCTCCACCTCCCTGCTGTGTGACCGGGCCCAGGCTCTGTGCCTCTCTGAGCGGCACAGTCTTCTGTGCAGTAGAACAGAATGGCATCAGTTATTTCCTCTGAGGAGTGAAGGGAGGAAACAAAGAGTCCCTTGGCTCAGAAAGACAAGTGTCCAGCCTCCTGCTACTGTGCGAAGCAATGAGGAACTCCTAGTCACGTTGGTCCCTCTGTGCCTGGCACAGAGCTTGCCCCAGGGCAGGCTCTTATGATATGCTGGTCGAAGAGTTTGGTGGTGTAAGGGGGTACCTATATCCGATACCTGTGCGTGGAAAGGGGCATCAGCTTACCCGATACCTGTGGGTGGAAAGGGGCATCAGCTTGGTGAGGACAGCTTCACATATAGCAAAGCAGGGAGCCCCTGGCACTGGGCTTTGAAAACTCCCAAGGCCCACCTGCCCCAGCGCAGTCCCTAACTCCTGCCTGGAATATCTTTCCTTCCCTAGATTCCAACAGACTGAAAGAAAGGCAAGTTCTGTGTCCTTCACTTTGGTTCTTACAATGGTTAGTTTTACGTGTGAACTTGTCTGGGCCACAGTGCCCAGATAGGTGGTCAAAAATTATTCTGGATGTTTCCATGAGGGTATTTTTGGATGACATTAATATTTAAATGGATGGGCTTTGAGTAAAGTGAACTGCCCTCCATAATGTAGGTGGACCTCATCTAATTAGGTGAAGGCCTGGGTGGAACAAAAGACTGGCCTCCCCTGAGCAAGAGGGAATTCTGCAGCAGCTGCCTTTGGACTTGAACTGCAACGTGGCTCTTCCCTGGGTCTCCAGCCTGCTGGCTACCCTGTAGACTTTGGACATGCCAGACTCCACACTAGACACTGAATGTTTGTGTCCCCCCCAAAATTCACATGTTGAATCCTAACCCCCAATGTGATGGCATTTGGAGGTGGGGGCCTTTGGAAGGTGATCAGGTCATGAGGGTGGAACCCTCATGAATGGGATTAGTGCCCTTATTAAAAGGACCCCAGAGAGCTCCCTTGCCCTCTTTCTGCCATGTATGGTCCCAACAAGAGGACGGCCATCTATGAACCAGGAAGCGGGCTCTCGCCAGACACTGAGTCTGCCGACACCTTGGTTTTGGACTTCTCAGCCTCCAGAGCTGTGAGAAATAAATTTCTGTTGTTTATAAGCCAGCCAGCCTATGGTATTCTGTTACAGCAGCCCAAACAGACTCCTCCTAGTCTATTATTAATTAAGTCCTCCATAATTGCATGAGCCAATTCCTTCAAATAAATCTTTCTCTATGTAAACATATCCTATTGGTTCCGTTTCTCTGGAGAACCCTGGCTAATACAGTTCCCCATCTTGGCTCCTTAATGCCTGGAAAAGCAGGTGAAGGGGTGGAGGGGGTGGCGTGGGAGAGCTTCAGTCAGAGGAGCAATGAATAGAAGTGTCGGGAATGAGGGGCTAGGCCAGGCCAGGCACCACAGATGATGAAAGGCAGGGGGAGGGGTTGGGGCTGGATTTACTTGGGGCAATTACAGAGGCAGCTTAAAATGCCTTTGCTTCTTTCTGAGCTGGCCTGGGACAGATGTCCTCGCCTTTCCAGGGGCTTGGCATCAGGAGGGGGAAGGCAGTCTTTGCCCAAAGCCCTCAGCTACAGGAGGAGGAGGCATGGGGGAAGGGAAGTGAAGTGGAGGGGGGATGCTTGGCTGTCTTGCCTCTGTCAACGCATGTGGCTCAGCGTCTTCTCCGTGCCTATGTGCTATGTGTCCCTTTGGCATAGATTAATTTTTGATTATAATCACACCTTATATTTGTAAACTGCTTTCAAAGCACTTTCACCTACATGATGGGAAAAACTCGCCTTGCCTCTCTCTCTCCTTGGGGGCCATGCAACTGAGTCAAGTCAAATCTTGCGGAAGAAGCATTTGGGTCTCGAGGAGGCCCCATCTTTGTTATCTGGCTTTGGTAGAAAGAAGACCAGAGTTGTGGGAGCAGCTCCAGACCCTGGACTTAATAGAAAAGAAGGAAATTCCTCAGAAGAGCACCCATCATGGGAGGCCTTTGTGAGAAGTTCAGTATGACTCCCCTTCCCCAGAAGGATGGGGCCCTGAGACTCAAACTGCCTCCTTTCTTTGTCTTCTCCCCTTTACCCTCCCTGCTGTGAGGCCTTGTGCCTCCAGGGTGGCCCCTCCATCCTCCCCAGCAGCTCCTATGATGGGAAAGGTAGGTCCTTTGTCCTCTTGGGACCTGGCGAGCACTGTGTCACTGGAGGCCCAGCCCCTGGCCTGAGCAGCCTCTAGCTTGAGAGAGTAGCAACTCTCAGGCAGGTCCTGGTTGCTACTTAGCCCTCAGGCTTCCTTCACTCATGGTGGACAGCAGGAAGTGGATGGCAGGAGGTGGACGGCATGAGGTGGACGGCAGGAAGTGGACAGCAGGAAGTGGATGGCAGGAAGTAGACAGCAGGAAGTGGACAGCAGGAGGTGGGCGGCAGGAGGTGGACGGCAGGAAGCGGCCGTGGCTGCTCTGGATGCTGCTGCCTCCACTCCAGATGCATCACATCCTTTCATTAATGATGCTTTGCTGGGCTAGAACCCAGCAAATGTTCTGAAGTTAAAAAGCAGCCCCTTCCCCTCCCGCGCTCTGGGGGTGGGGCTTCCAGGTGGGGAGGGCTGGTCTTGAGCAGCATCCACCAGCCACGACATGGTCTCTCTCCCCCATGGGAGGTCACACCATTCCCAAGCACCAGGAGCGCACAATTCTACATGCACTCGCACCCGTGAGCTCTCGCTGCGCTCTGGCACAAGCTTTCCAAACACCTTCGGCATAAAGATACAGGTTCTCATAACAGCCCCTCCTCTTGGCCCCGCTAGGCCAGGGCTCTCCTCTCACCCACCCATTTTGCAGATAAGGACTTTGAAAAGCCGAGGGTGGACCCTGCCATGGCTCCCACAGATGAACAAAAGGCATGGTGAGTGCTACCTGGTTACCCTAGTGAATTCAACTCTCCCTGGGAGACCCATTATGGAGTAGCCCACTGAACTGTCTGGGGGTGGGGAACACAGGGGTCTTCCTTCCCAGGAACTGTTTTCTCTTGCACTGGTTCTGTAAGCGAGCCCTTGGCTCCATCAGTCTGTGGGACGTTCATGGCAGCAGAATCACCCGCATACAGACACAAATGCCCACTCCAACTCTAGGGACCAGTGCCTGGGACACACATGGACACACTCACCCAAACCCCCGCCCCCCCACTGCAGACTCTCACAGATGCTTCCTCTTGGTCCTAGAAACAACATACACAGAGACACCTCCAAAGTGAAGGGGAGCACATGCTCAGCCAGTCTCTCTCCCTGGGGCCATGGAGCTCCAGGCACAGGGCCAAACACATCCCGCCAACAGCCAGCCAGGAGGAGATGGGGGAAGGGAAGCAGTAAGAATTGAGGTGAGTGAGCAGAAATTCCTGATCCTGAGTCTTTAGGCATCAGAATTTGGGGGCAGGTGGGGCGAGGCACTGGGAGGGGATCAAATTCCCTGTGGAGTTTAGAAAATAGCACAGATGCCCATCTGTCTTGGATGGCTTAGCTGAAGCCAGCTTAGAGAGGCCAGATGGATGGATTAGGGGCCTCTGGAGGTCCTCCCACCTCTATGTTTCCACCAATCTCCAGACCCAACCACATACACACACAAACACCTTTTCCTCCAGGCCCAGGACCAACAGACAGACACATACCGTTTCCTTAACACTATTATCTTCATAGTCAGTAACAGCAGCAGCCAGTACTGAGCACGTACTATGGGCCAGACAGTGCATTAGAGGCTTCTACATGCATCATCTCCTTTCATCCTTACAGTGAGGCAGGCACTATTATTAATCTCCATTTTACAGGCAAGGAAACTAAGGCACAGAAAGGTTAAGTAACTAGACCAAGGTCACACAGCTAGGACTTGGTGGAACCAGGACTCAAACCCGGGCATGTTTGATGCTGATCCACGATGCCAAACTGCCTCTCTTCAGCCCTGGCCTCTTTGGAGCCTGGGGCTCCCCACTAGGATTTCCCCAGGACGAAATCTTATTAAACACTCAGGCAAGCCACAACTGGATCCAAGGACAGCTGGCCCTAAGTGGCATGCCCTTGTTTATATAGGCTACGCGATCTATTCGTGGAACATTCAAATAAAATGTCATCCTACTCCCCAGTAGGCTGTCACATCTCATTTTTCTCTCTCCTTTCTCTCCATCCTCCATCACTGACCCAGATCCCTCATGCCTTCGGTAGTCAGCAAAAATTAGAGGCGCAGAACAGAGGCAAAAGGAAGGGCCTGGGGGCACAACGCAGGTAGTGGCAAGACCTTGGGCCACACAGATTCAGACTAAGTCCTCTTCACTGCCGATGCGACACCTCCACTCCCACCCCTCGGCTACTCAAAAGACCCCAGAGGCAGTCAGATCACCAGCAGACTGAGGTCCCCCCTCTGCTTACTGCTCACTAAGTGGCCATGAAGGTGCACCTCCTGGGCTCCTGGGGGCCGCGCACGCCTGCTCCCTGCACCCTGGCTCCACTGGTCGGTAAGAGGGGCTTCCAACCAGTCACAGCACAGCCCCCTGGGTGGGCGGCCCTACTCACCCAGGTCCATGTCTGCAGCCTTGGGCCGGTGGGAGCAGGGCACATTCTTGAAGATGGCATCCAGAATCTTCTCCTTGACCTGAGTAATGGTGTCGCAGTTGAGGATCTTCACTGGGACCTCAGGGCTGTTGGCATTGTCTGGGTTGACACAACTCAGGACCTGCGGGCGGTGGGGAGAGGCGGTGAGTGGGGAGGGCAGCATGGAGAGCCCTGGGAATGCCAGCCGCATCCCGGAGTCCTATCCTGACTGGCTCTGCCTTGGCAGGTTGGACTGGACAGGGGTGGGGCGACCCCAGCCAAGCCCTCTACCCTTCCTGTCCCCACAAGCAGCAGGCAAGTGGTACAGCTTCAGCATCACTGCAGGAGTAGGAGCTGCATATTTCACCCCTCTTCACGAGAGACTCCATTAAAATCCTGATTTATCACAGGGAACAATGTCCAAGCAGGAGGGAGCAGTGAGGGGCAATGTGTCAGAGAACGGGCACTACTGAATATCCCCCTGCCACCTCTCTCTCTCTCACTCACACACACACACACACACACACACACACACACACACTCACTCGACAGCATCTCAGCAGCACACCCAGACCCTCGCCCACCTCTGAAATCCCCATCCCCCATCCCTGTGTGTCGGTCTGTCTTTCTCATTACTCTGTCTCATGGGAATCTGGCTCCTTTCTCCAAAGATTTCACGTGCCTCAATTTTTGTGACACTTCTGGGCTGACTGGAGGTTGGAGAATCTGTAAGCAGCTTACCGTGTTCTTTAAAAATAAAAAGGTGCCCTTCAGGGCTTCCCTGGTGGCGCAGTGGTTGAGAATCCGCCTGCCAATGCAGGGGACACGGGTTCCAGCCCTGGTCCGGGAAGATCCCACATGCTGCAGAGCAGCTAAGCTCGTGCGCCACAACTACCGAGCCTGCGCTCCAGAGCCCTTGAGCCACAACTACTGAAGCCCGTGCTCCGCAACAAGAGAAGCCACCACAGTGAGAAGCCTGCGCACCTCAACGAAGAGCAGCCCCCACTCGCCGTGGCTGAAAAGAAAGCCCACGTGCAGCGGCGAGGACCCAACGCAAACAAAAATAAATAAATAAATTTATTAAAAAAAAAAAAAAAAGTTCTGGGCCATTTCTAACAGCTTTGCTTCTCCTGCCGTCCTCAGCGTGGGCTCTCTCTCCGTGGTGAGACCGTGGGATCCTTGGGTGGACCAGAGTGGATCCGGGTGGGTGCTGTGAGCCACAGGTGCTGCCAGGTGGCCGCGCCGAGCCGGGTTCTGCAGCCCCTGTCTGACCCTGCTGCCTGCGCCCTCTGTGCGCTCCCTTCTCAGAACCTTCACTGTACCGCCTCCCCCGCCAACCATTTCCCAACCGTACGTCTGGTCTGCAGATCCAGACGACAGCCTTCTGCCCATCCCCACCCGTTCCTGGTCCACGTGGCGGCAGTCAGAACCCTGGCCCCTGGACGCCTGCCTTTCATTAGTGAGCAGACTGCTGTGAGCTCCCACGGGAACATGCTCATCCCATTAAGAAGAGAACCTCCTAAATCTATAGAACCGAACTGTCACCCTCAAAATGTTTTAAACCGAAAACAATGCTGGAAGGAACTCTGGACCACGTGCTCCTCCGGTGTGCCCTCTCCCAGACATTCCCTGCCTCCTAAGAGCCTTCCGGGACCCCTCCCAGCCCCCCTCCATGTCCAAGCACAGCCTAGTACTCGGTGCTGCCCTGGGGTCCTGAGCTCTGGGCCAGTGGTAGTGGTGGAGCCTGGCCTCCCCCAGGCAGTATCACAGCTTTTTCTGGGCTGTGAGACCATGAAGCGGGGGCTGCCACCTGAGTATGCCCCCCTGACATTTCTGCTTGCCCCTGGGGTTCGTGGTGGCCCCATGAGAACAACTCTGTGGATGCTTCAGGGCATCCAGAGAAGCAGCAGTGGTCCCACGGAGCCCCTGGCCGCTGGCCAAGCCCCAGCTCCACCTGGAAGTTCCCTTCCCCAGCCCCATGCCCAGGTCTCTTGGATATTTCAGAGCAACTGCCTGGGGTTTGTTCTGCTAGGTCAGTGCTTCTCAAACTTTCCTGTGAATAGAATCTCTAAAGGGGTTTTGTGAAAACGCACATTCTGACTCAGGAGGTCGAGGATGGGGTCTGAGACTCTGCATTCAGGCAGGATCGCAGGTGAGCACCTAGCACTCTAGCAGGCTCCCAGTTTATGCCCTTGGGCACTCCCAGCAGCAGGCCCCTAGGCCTGCGAGTCCAAGTTCAATCTAATTCATCACTCAACACATAGCTGGTGCATCTGACTGTCAAGTGATGCTGGCTGAGCCTCTCAGCACCTGTCTCACTCTTTGTGGTTACCCTTTCCGCCCAGCACAAGGTTACCATCAGTTGGCCCAAAGTACCCTGGGCTCCTCCAGCCAGTGCTGAGTTGCAGGCCATCCTGTCTTTTTCTGACCCCTTCATCTCGGAGTCTCGGGTCAGCCCTATCTGCTGCTGCTAACACACTTTCTTCCTGGCCCCTTCTCACCACCACCAGGCTGCTCCCCCTTCCACGTGGAGGGGTTCCTTTCACAGGCCTGAGGATGGCTATGGAACCTCCCCGCAGCCATTTCCTCTCCAAGCAGGACAACTGTAATTTCCTTCCCCTTTCCTCACGGTGCCTCTTCCCCAACTCTTTCCACCTCAAATGGATGCGCGTCCCTGACCCACTCCAATTTCCTCACATTCTCTTGCAGTCACCTGCAACCAGGCTGGGTGTGCTAACAGTAGTTTGGCCTCTGGAATAAAGGATGCTGCAATTTGGGGACAGGGTGTTATTAAAACTGTGTTGGATTCAATACTGGGGAGCCGCTGATGAGATGGGAAAGGAAGGGAGAGGGAGAGACCAGGCAGGAGACATTTCAACAGTAGTTCTAGCTCATTAAGAAATCGATTCTGGTCTCTATTTTTGGAAGGTTTTTTTTTTTTTCCTTTCCCATTTATTTATTTATTTATTTATTCATTTATTTATTTTTGCGGTACGCGGGCCTCTCACTGTTGCGGCCTCTCCCGTTGCGGAGCACAGGCTCCGGACGCGCAGGCTCAGCGGCCATGGCTCACGGGCCCAGCCGCTCCGCGGCAGGTGGGATCTTCCCGGACCGGGGCACGAACCCGTGTCCCCTGCATCGGCAGGCGGACTCTCAACCACTGCGTCACCAGGGAAGCCCTTACTTTCCCATTTTAATCAGAGCCTCTAACTCTCTCCTCCAGAGCAGACCACGACTGCAAAGAAGCAGGGCCCTCACTCACCCTGCTGCCTCAAAGCCTCGTCAACTGAGCCAATCCCGGCAAATCTGCTGAGATGCCTGCTGGGATTCCCAGGGCCCTCTGAGGATGGAGTGCGACAGGTGCATCAGGGTCGCATCACGCCCAGCCAGCAGGACTGGCTTTATTCAGAGTGGCAGGGATGTCTCCCCAGCTGGCCTCGGGGTCTGGGATTCATCCTCGGCTCGCGACCTCTGCCCGGCTGTGCCATGCCTTGGCCTGTCATGTGTCTCACTTCCCAATGACTGCATTTTAAATCCCATCTATTCTCTGTCCGCTTTAACACCACTGCTGTCTCTTCCACCTCCATTCTTGGGCTCCACCCACGTACCACCCTCCACATTTTATCTTTTATCTTGTTTCCTCACTCCTTTCTTCTACCTCCTCTTCTCTTTCCTGGAAAAGACCTGGTGGGAGATCACAGCTCTCTCCAAGGAAAGCCCAAGCATGAGCTCCCCCGCCTGGAGAGACAGTGGGTGCCAGCGGACAGTCATGGCGGGAAAGAGGAAACAGAGGCCCCGTGAGGCAGCAGTGGGCTGACCCTGGGCTCACAGCTTTGTACACCAGATCCCACTCCATCTTCTGGACGCCTTTGGGAGCTACATGCTGTCATTATCCCTCTTTTATTACTATCCCTGTTTTTTTTTTTTCAGATTAAAAAAAAAAAACCACCCAAACTTGGAGAGATTAAGCCCCAAATCCCCCAGCTGGTCAGAAGGAGTCATAGCTCCAATCCAGCTCTGCCCGATTCCAAACCCCGTGCTCCTAAATGCTGAGCTTTGCTGCCTCCTAGGATGCCTGTTTCTGGCAGGAAAGGGAGTGTAACGTTGACTGAGGGGATCCCCCTGTTCCCTGGACAAACACCTTAAACCGCTAGGCCAGCCTGGCCTCCCATCCTACAGCTCGGGTCATGTAGGTGCGACCTTCAGAACCACGAGCAACCATTTCTGGCTTCCCCTCTTCCGTGCTCCGCATGCTACCTGCTTGGAACTGGTCTGCAAAGTGTGGGTTCTCCACTGGGAGAACTGCTGAGAAGGAGTTCATTCCCTGGGATTAGTCAGCCAGCTGTCGGCAAGGGGTTACTGCCCCACAATCCAGTGCACCGGCCTGAAAGCACACCAGTCTCTTGCTGTTGCTCAGGTGTGTGTGAGCCACCGGTCCTCAAATCCAGGTGCCCTGGCATGTTAGGACAAGGAAGTCGGGGTGACCGGCACAGATGGAGTGACTGGCACAGGTGGAACACCAGGCTGGCCCCGTGCAGTGGGCGCCCAGAGAGGTGGCTGAGAGCAGTGGCATTAAAGAGGCGTTAGAGAAGATGGTCCTCAGCATTTCCACCATCCCTTCGGCTGGGCAGGGGCTGCGCAGGGCCAGAACCCACCTACCAGAGCCATGCAGAGGAGCTGGGAGGCTGGCTTACCAGGGTTTTGTAGTCGATCTGCTGGCGGATGAGCTTGTCCTCACTCAGAGAGTAGCGGGCCTCGCCCGTGATGGCGTCAATGGGCCCCTTCTCCATCTGCTGCTTGATGGCGCAGAACAGCGAGAAGAGGGGCTCCCCGGCACACTCCTGCACACAGAGAGGAGCAGTGCTGGCTGGACCCCGGGCCCCAGGTGTGCGGAGCCCGGCCTCCCCCAGCCTCTGCCTCTCCGAAGGGCTGCTTTCCACGCCTCGGTTTTAATTCTCTTCTCCTGCTCCTTCCCACTGCCATTCTTGAGCTCTCTTTTCATCTCCCCAGCCCCCGGGCACCCTCTCCGCCCCTCTCCCCGCCCTCACTCCACACTGCTTTCTCTGCAGCCCCATCAAGAGACAGGGGTCCTAGAGGGGTGGGATAGGGAGGGAGGGAGGGAGACGCAAGAGGGAGGAGATATGGGGATGTATGTATGCGCGTCGCTGATTCACTCTGTTATACAGCAGAAACTAACACACCACTGTAAAGCAGTTCTACTCCAATAAAGATGTTTAAAAAAAAAAAAATAGAGAGAGAGAGAGACAGAGGTCAGTCCTCGGCGGCGTGAACTCCTTAGAAAACAAGTTAGTAATTGGAGGCCGAGCAGCTCTTCCACCTCCCAGGCATGTCCTCGGCTTATCTGCCGCCACACGCGCTCCCGTACCTGCCCAGGACCCTCATCAGCCTCAGTGAAGTCTGGGGCCGGAGGGGCAGGAGGAGAGCAAGAGGAAAAAACGGGGTGACTTGTTTTCAGCTTGAAATGGGAATGCAGGGTCTTCTCAGAAGCTCATCCCTCACCTGTGAGAAAGCGGCCTGTGCGGACCGTGCCTCGCAAGCCAGGCCTGACCGTGGGTCTCTGCCTCCTGAGATGGTCAGGAGCCTCTCCCCTCCATGACAAGGGAAACAACATTTCTTGGCGGGGTTCTAGGAGCTAGGCCCCAGCACCTGTGGACTTGGGGGCCGTGGAGGGAACAGGGGGGATGCCGGTTCATTCCCAGGCTGGTGGGGAAACTGAGGTAAGGCCCAGAGATGCCCCAGAATCCAATCGTACCTTGAGGAACTTGTAGAGCAGGAAAGTAAACCAATTGGTCAACATCTTCTCAGCCACCGATTCGGTCCTGGCACCAGTCACAGAGGGACCCAGCCGGGCGAGACAAAGACAGAGGCAGCTGGTCAGACCTCAGGGGCTGGGAGGGTAGGGGGATCTGCACGGCGCTTGCTGCTTAAGGCTTTCAGGCCAAATCTTAAGACCCGAAGGGATACCTGAGTTCCTTGGACTCCTAGACACACCATAATGATAAGACAAGCTTTGCCTACCAAGCGGGGAGATGACCTTCTGTGCGCAGGCTCCCGGGTGAGTTTCTGTGAGAACGCGTTAGGGCAGCCCTGTCCGATTGTCCAAGAGCACTTTCGGGGTTGATGAAATAGCCCAGTAGCACTTTGTGTTGTCTAACATGGTAGCCACCAGCCACAGATGCCTACTGAGCACTTGAAATGCAGCTAGTGCACCTGAGGAGCTGAATTTTTTATTTTATTTACTTTAAATTAACTTAGATTTAAATAGTCACATGTGGCTCACAGCTACCACATCGGTGATAGCCTTAGAGAACTTTATAGGATAGGTGTGTTCCCTGGGGTAAGAAAAGAAAATTAAAAAAAAATCTGGGAGATACTCATTTGGCAAGGGATAGAAAAGAAGGTGGCAGGGGAAGAGGGTCATGGAGAAAGGCCAGATAGACTAGACTGAGCCCATCCCCTAAGCTAAAGACTCCCAGAGTAGGTAGTAACATGGAGCTGGATACCCAGCTCATTCCAATAGATGCCCAAATTGTCCTATTTAAAAGGCTTCCACGCACTTTGGAACTTCTCCTGGGAACCTTTCTAGTGTTTTATTTGCAATGACAGGGGGTTCATTCTTGAGTCTACTTTGCATCTTTCACGCTGCTACCCAAACCCATTTATTCTTTTACTTTGGAAGTGAAAACACCACAGCAGCATTACTGGACACTTTTGGTTGCAATGGCCTTCAAGTACATGAACAATTGGAATGGCAGCGCAGACAGAGGCAGAGGGTCCCGATTCCGTATAAGGCAAAGCCACGGTATATGGTTATTTCTGCACACGTGACCATGCAGATTTCAACGGTGTCGAGGATGAGGCACCCCACGGTGTTGAGAGGTGGACCCTGGACCCGGGCAGAGCCCACAGCAGGTGCCAGGAAGTGCCTGCTGTGTTGCATCAGGCAAGGTGCCGCTAAAACCGAATTCAGCCACAGACTGGACCAGTGCTTTTCAAACTTCACCACACATTCAGATCCCCTAGGCTTCTCGCTAAAATGCTGATCCTGATCTAGCAGGTGTGGGGCGGCACCTGAGCTTCTGCCTTTCCAACAACCTCCCAGCTGATGCTTCTCCTGTTACCAGACAGCAGTGAGAGCTGCAGGGGCTAAAGTTTCCCAACTTGAGATGGTGAGGTGGGCTCCCAGAGAGGCCCTGAGGTATCTCCCCTGATTCAAGTTCTGACTTAGATAAGGTGAGGGCATGGAAAGATGACCTCTGAAGAGTGCACAAGAGAAAACCTCTGAAAGAGAGGGTCAAATCAGGGGAGGGTTAGAGCAGAGGGAGCTGAATGGAAAGTGGATTTAGGGGCAGAAGAAAAACCACGGGGTGAGCAGATGGGCCGTGGTTGAGTCAGAGGCACCAACATGATGGACAGGTTCTTCTAAGAGGGCAAGGGGTGCACCCTGGCCTCTGGCCAGGTCAGTACCTGACCTTGGGGGGCTTGGCTGCTCCGGGGAGCCCTGCCCTGGTCTCCCTGGGGGCAGGAGGGCCAGGCCAGTGCGCCGGGCTGGGTTGGACACCCCGCGGCCGCACCCCTACCTCCTGAGCAGCAGCTTGGGATGGTTCTTGCTCTCCAGATTCTTGTCTATGAGGTCAGCCAGCAGCTGCTTCAGCACGTCAGTGGCGTACTCCAGCTTGCTCTGCAGCACCGTCATGATGAGCGAGGCCACGTTGCCGCGGTCGCGCATGGAGAAGCTACGCTGAGACTCCAGCGTGCGAATGAAGGACAGCAGGCATGCCTTGTTGTTGATGAGCTGAGCGAAGAGCTTCAGACCTTTCTCCACGCGCTCCTGCCGGTAGCCCGGGACCTGCGGGGGAGACCCAGGGGTGCGGGAGTCTTAATTGTCGCCCGAGAGGGGCGAGGCCCCAGGGACACCCCACCGGGTGGGCCGTGCACACTGCTGACCCTCCCACCCTCCCACTGACCCACGACAGGCCAGCTGGCTGATGCCACCAAGTCCTTATCTAGAGCCAGGCGCCACGTTTGGTGCCTACCTAACCTCCATCACAGCCCACGAGGCAGGTCACTGTCTCTAGAGACAGAGAGAACGTCATCGTTAGCATGGCGTTGACAAGGGGACCCCACGCCACTGGAGACCACCGTAACAGTCCCAGGTAGGGACTCCAGGAGGTCGGGGCTGCTGTGAGTGACACCCTTGCTGGGGGATCACCAAACCTGGGCCTCTGGCTAACCTAATGCTGACCTGTCTCTGGCCCTGGGGGTCCTGTTGACAGACCAGTGGGCTCAGAGTCAGGACTTCTGGGTTCCACGTGGGCTCTGACATCCCCACGCCATATAAGCTTGGACACGCCCCTTTACTTCTCTGGGGGCCCAAGTTCATTCACCTGAAAAAAGAGAAAGCTTAAGCCCACGAGCCTCTCAGGCACTCCCTAACTCTAGCATCTGATGTTTTCTTAGGGATTCCTTTTGAGACCCTGTTCCATGCAGGGGAAGGGGAGGAAGAAGGTGTTATCTTCCTGCCTCTGCATCTTCTGTTCACTGGGAGGTCCGTGCAAGGGTGCAAGGGCGCACCATCCACTCGGCAAACACGAGCCAGCGACTGAGCTGTGCAAGGAGGATGCGTCTCTGAGATGCACGAGAATAGGTACAGCGGCACCATGCGTCATGCCCCAAATGGGAAACACCCAGAGGTCCAGCAACAATAGGAAGGCTCCAGGAACTGCGGTGCATTCACCCAATGAGATGCTGCACAGCAACAGGGATGAAGGACCCACTGCTACTCACAGTAACAGGGATGAATCTTGCAAACATATTGAAAGAAAAAAGCCACGCTCAAAAGACAGCATACTGGACAATACCATTTAAATCCAGATTTAAGAAGAACAATTAAAATTCATCAATGGGGAAAAAAAGGGTTTTCTGGGGGCGGCTGTGACTGGAACGGGGCACAGGGGGACTTTTGGAGGCTGGTAACGTTCTGCTTCTCGATCTGTGTGCTGGCTTAATGGCTGTGTTCACTCGGGGAAAATGCGCTGAGCTGTGTTCTGATAATTTGTGTATTGCTCTGTCTGTATACTTCCATTAGAACAAAAAGTTCACTTAAAAAATGAAGCACAGCCTCTGCCCTGGAGGGAAGGCCCTCTGAGAACACGGAGCAGGGCATCTGGTGGGAAGTGGCATGTTGGAGGAGGTGGGGCATCCAAAGGAGGTGCCATCGAAGCCTCATCTTGAGGGATGTGTCCCCCCTGGCGGGGGCAGGGAGAGTAGATGCACCAGGTCCTTGGGAAGGAGTGTCCCGTATGGAGCAGTAAAGAACACGGCTTCAGAGTCCGCTGAGCTTGCATTAACTTCATCACAGTCATTTATGAGTTGCAGGACCCTTAGGAGACTCAGTTCCTTTATCAACAACGCGAAGGTACTGCAGTTAATATGTATACAGACCTTACTCTATGCCAAGCACAGTTCCACATGCTTTAGAAATACTGACCCATGTAATCCACCCAACAGCCTACGAGGTAGGTGCCATTATTACCCCAGGGTCCCACGAGGATAAGGAACTTCCCCCAGATCCCAAGACAGAGAAGTGTCAGAGCCGGGCCATGAACTGGGCAGCTGGCACCGTGTCCTGCCCCCTCTTGGGACTCCTGAGAGCACGGAACGAGATGTGTGAAAAGCCTCAGCACCATCACAGCCCAGTTACGGAATGGCAGCAATTTCATCCTGCTTCACTCTAAAGATTTTAAACTGGGGAGGCCAACAGTCTCAAGGCCCCTTCAGTGGGGGGGACCCCTGAACTCTTCAGAGAGACACTCGCATTGACCCGCATTGCCTGGCATCAGCAGCTCCCACAGGTCAGGAACATGCATGTTTCCAAAACAGGTCCGTTCGCATTTCCTTTGCCGCTGTGCTGATACACAGCTGTGCTGGTACACGGAAGGCTGATACCTCTCCAGGCAGTTCTCAGGAGAGAGCAGAGCTCACCAGAGCCAGGGTGGTGCCGGCCAGGCCACCGGCGGCTCCGCCAGGCTGTCAGCACAGCCCCTCCTGGAGACCCTCTGGTTCCCCAAGGTCTCCAGCCTTGGCTTGCCTCCTGCCCGGCCCCGCTAGTCCCCCACTCCACGGCGGCTCTTGAGGGAAGAGCAGGGAGACATGGCCACCTCACTGTGCCATGGTGTGGGGCCTCAATCTGCCCAGATGTCTGTCTCCTACTGCCCAGCCCCCCACTCCAAGACAGCCCCTCCCACGCAGGCGTACCCGTTTTACTTCCCCTCTCCTTCAGACCTCTCAGAAGACATTCCTCTAAGTTGTCCCGATAATAAGAGACAATGCCACTTTCTGGGCTCCCGCCATGGGCAAAGGACAGTCTTGGCACACTGTACACATTGGTCCAATGAAGCCTTCTCGTGACCCTCTTTCAACAGCCTCTCAGGGAAGCTACTGTGGCTTCCCAAGGCCAGCCAGCAGAATTGCCAAACCCCAGCTTGCTTGGCTCCTGAGTGCCCGTCCATCCTGCGCGTCCTTGGCCTGTCTAGCCTACCCCTGGGCCTGGGAGGTGACTGAAGGCCAGCTCTGAGTCCTCCCTGAAGCGCCCCGTGCAGGGCCTCCTGGAGCTCAGGTGGCCGTCCGTCGAGGGCACGGGAGCCAAGTGCAGGCTTGGCTTGTGGCGCCTGGAGAGGAGGAGGAGGATGTGCTCTGGACTCCCTTGCCTGGCTGCACACTCCTTCTGGGCAGCAAGGCTCAGGGCCCTGGGAAGGAAGGTTTAGCGAAGCTACCTGCAGGGAAAGA